GAAATCAATGATGTATAGGTTGTCAGCAATTGTTTACTGGATAATTTATGCTTTAAAAAAATCAGTAATAATATCTTTAAATAACACTTTTATGTATAATAGTATCTATAATGATAAGTAAAGGAAAAATTATATACACATTTTGCTTTTTCATATTCTTTTTAAACGTGATCGTATAAGATTATAATATAGTCGCTTTTATGATATTGTCTTTCCGCCATCGTATATTATTAACAATGCTGGAACAAATAATTCACTTCTGGAACCCTTAGCTAGTGGATTTGGTCCTATAACATCTTAAAAATCTATGACACTGATACTAAGAATCTTTAACCAAGAGCGCTATGAGTCGAGAACTCCCAATGAATAAGGCCGTACTGCCCATGGTTAAATCCTGTTCGGACTTCTGCCTAAAATGCCAATTTTTTCCGCTTTTGTATCCCAGGAAACATTTGACCAAGCATCCAGATATCCCGAATGTAGTAGTGCCATCACAGGCGTGTTTCTGAAAATGTTTATCCAGTACTAAGAAAGAACGGCAATCAGATTTTTCCTTCATGGAATCTAATGCAATGCTGGTTTAGTGCACTTTCGCACAAGTCGAAATACAGCGCCATTTCCGCACAAAGAAATATGCATTGCTAGATGGGTAACAGCACTTATAATATTAATACATCTTCTTGATTAATTTTCGATAACTTGGAATTTGATTATTATTATGCTTTACAAAATTTTAAGCTATTGGACTGCTTAAGTAAATATTTTATTGTAGCAAAATGGTTATATATATAACATAAACCGTGTAGATAATGATAAACATTTTAAGGAGTCAGGTACCTTTAAAATGTTAAAATATGGCAAAATTGTAACACATTATAAAGCTCAATATATTTATAAATAATTGGTTCATGAACGCGAAATTTTGTATACTTGTTTCGATAGACCTAATAGTGTATTTGCTATTTTTATGCACCAGTTACTAAAATATTTTAAATTAAATACCTTCTTTGTTGACCGCTTAATACCGTAATAAGTACTTCGCACGGCAGTATAAATAAACAAATCACTATTTACAAATTAGGGGACAAATAATGTACACCTAAACGATTTTTATAACAAAGCTCCTTTTTTGTCCTACTTTCTTGAGCATATGCTGGAGTCACCAATTTATGTTCGTCGCGTGAGCTACCCAAATCTGCCTGCAAGGAATGTAACTGAGAAAAATAATTTTAAATGCTGCATTCATTAAAAAAAGTATTTCTCAAAACACATCTTCTCTTGTCAGTGCTAAAGAAGACATTTGTGTCTGTATCATTGCTATCGTAAATAGAAAGCTGATAAAGTTGGAAGGAACAATTAAACCATTAGAGCTACCTGATTTCAGAGTTTAACCTTGAGCTATCCTCCATATTCTATAAAAAACGGCATGAAATTTTGAGGCAGTGCTATATTGCAGAGATGACATCGAGACAGCAGGAGACACATGTTTTTAGATTCGAGAAATTTTGAGAGCCGCAGAGTTGCATTTACATCGCTTTAAAAGTAATGAAACATGCTTTCATAAACAGAAACATCAGAAGTAGATTAAAGGAATTTCTCAATTTAATTAATGCGGTTTCTTATAAATAAGAATTTTTATTACATCTGTTTAATACCGATGATAATTTATTACTGCGATATGTAGATCTGAAATAAGATAAAACAAAATATGATAGCTGTTTCAAAAAAATAATTGGCTACCTCAAAATTAACATTCTAAATTTGGTGATCTGCCCCTAAATTTATCTCTTCTCACAGGTTCCAGATTTTTCTAGATTGTGAAAAAATTTGAACTGTTACCGTGTGGAACTATCAAGCACTTTACAAAATTTCATTGAACATTCTTATCTCAGAACTCTAAAATATGCAATTGTTTTAAAAGAATACAGTGCTTAAAAATTATCATTGAATTCAAAATTTTATGACTTTCAGTGAAATATCAAAATTGAGTCAAAATATCGGTAAAAATTTTATGACAATTTTTTGTTTATAAATTAATAGGTTTGTTAATGTGTTTTGTATCTTTAAAATTATATCTTTCACATTTTGCTGCTCTAATGCTTGTTCTTCCCCCCTGCTCACCTAAACTTTCTTTTGAAGGTGGTATATATAAGATATAACAAAATATGATAGCTGTTTCGAAACATAATTGGCGATCTCAAAATTAACATAACGTTTTAATGCAGATGCCTCTTGTCCAATCAAATTAATTGTAAACCAGAACTCTGAACTGAAATTTTCTCCCAACCTTCTTCCTCTGAAAGTACTATAATTCTTACCCCCTTTTTCACAGAAGCTCTCCTACTGTCAAGATGCTTTTCATCCATGCTGCTGCTTACTTGCTGAAGATAACGTCGTACTTCAAAATGCAACTTGCTGTATTCAAATATAATTAGGAAACATATTATCTGAAAAAAGATGATTTGATATACATAAAAAAAATAAAGATTGTGATTTTTCAAGATATGCTGTGATAAATGCGTCATCATGCTTTCCACTCTGCCACACTACGGTCTTCTCAGTATCGTAAGCTGTTAAAGTTACAGCGCCTTCAACTACGCATTTTAAAATCATTACATACATATCGCATTAATTAAATTGTACGATGCAAATGAGTATTCTCTTTGTAGACAGAATGCCAAGTATTTTCTTTTGGTTCTTTCCCCTCCACCCGTATAAAATTACTACGTGATTTTAGTAGGCGTAAACTGGAATCGAAAAGTGGTATCGTAAAGGTCTTTTGCGTGCAATGATGCAAAAGCTCTTCATCTGTGTGAAGAATTAGGCACTAATTTGAAAAATGATTTTTCTCTGCTTTTTAACTCACATGTACCCCTCTTAAAAAGTATTGGGACACAGCAGAGTTTCAAAAATTTGTTGAAAGAATAATTAAATATTTAACTTGAATGAAACATTTTTCTTACATATCATATCTTTAGGATAAAAAATCAAAAAACTTTAAAATTAATTAAAAATAATGTTAAATAAATATTAACTTATACAACCTGCATATATACGAAAACATAAAGGAAAAAAAATCGGGAACATTAACACTTTTTAAAAGAAAAAAATAATGTATTGGACCTGTTGTAAATAATGTACTTCAGCTTAAAAGTGTAGCAGTATTTCAATAAAACTACTATCTCTTGCAGGCGAGTCACCAAACAGCTTCATGCAGCTCGCAAGCCTCAATCTGGCTATGGCTACCATATTGACAAAAAATAATCATCTTTTTAAAACGATCCATTGGTTTTATTATTTCAAACTTTTAATATCGAGCCATGTTCTTCCATCGCTCTTGCATTCGACAACTGAACTTTTAATTTCTGCTTTGGCTACATCAGACTTAGAGATACGTTCTGCAACTTTCAAGATTGCTTTATTTCACGTCGTCACACACTTATCATCTTCCAGTTTCGGTTTTAATATCCGCGTTGTCCCTTCAGAATTTGAATAAGCACGAAATTATACCGATACCGATAATGGTTATAGATTGAGCCCGTTAGGCGAAATTAAACGAATATAGAAAAAATATTAATACTTTGAGAACACTCAGAGCAACCGCCAGGCCAGGAATGGACACTATTTAAGGAAAATCATGTCAATAAAATCATAAGACTGATTGATTGTTTCTGACAAGTTAATGCGGGAAAGTCACTAGCTGTTCAAGACTGGTTACACTTGTTAGAATGTTCTCTCAGATGTGACGCACTGATATGTTATGTGGGGAAGTGTCACATCATCTTAGGGGCTCCTGAAAGAATGTAGTGCCTAAGAATCCACATTCTCTTGAGAGGGTTCTGTGTTTCCATAACATCTACTGAAGTTATTTTCAAATTGTTTTCTCTCTTTAAAAAGCTTTTTTTACAGGGTTTTCATTCAACGTGAGGAATCGATGAGTGAGTGAACCATGGCAATATTTTCTCACATCATGAAGTTTCTGAGGACACTCTGCAATAAGCACATATCAAGGTAAGGACCAAATGTTCTGCAATCCCCTTTAATAACCGCGAATTATCTTACGTAGATATAAGCCATATGGATGTTTGGTATTTAAGCAAGAATAAAGAAAACAGCAAGAAAGCTTGTTATTTCGCCAAGCCGTTATTTGTGTATAAAATCTTCCTTTTCTTTAGCGAAAAAGAAGTTTCGAAGAAACAGGTCTCGTATATGCAAAAATTGCTGCCTGAATCTCCCTGGCATTTTATACAATATCATACATAATAGAAGAAGAAACGTGATTTTCCATTACAGCTGAAGGAAGTGTAGTTGCCAAACGACTCAATAAATATTTCGAACAATTGTATGAGCGGTTGCAGAAGTACGCGTCTGTAGTAACGAAACATTTTGATGGTAACTGTGTTTAACATGATGATAACAGATTTAAATCAAAACAAATCCTTATCTGTATACGGAATGCAACTGTATGATCTTTCTTTCACATTAACGTAGTACAGTAGCAAGTTTTATAAAGTTACCGGAAGCATTATGAAGGAGTACCTTTAATATCCACAAGTTTAACAATTCAGCATCAGTCACGGGGCATTTTGAAGATGCGAATTAGAATTACTTATAACAATTATCAACGAGGCTTTTCCTATACGAAGTTTAAGAAATTCTTGATATAGTTTACAAAAATCTCTTGTGGAATTTGTGTTTGAGGTCTTAGCACACAATATGATATTGGGAACAAATAAGGATTCGGAATTGCTTTGGATTACCACGGTGAGGAAATCTGATTTTACACGCCATGCATACGCTGTGTGCAAGGTGCCAAACATAATTTCCTGTTTGGTTGTATACCACATATACAAATTATAAACACCTAGTTGTCGCTAATTATTACTGAAATATAGGAAAGATTGTTATAAACACCTAGTTGTCACCGATTATTACTTGTGTAATGAACCTTCTTGGATTGTTATGTAATTTCTAGTGAAATAAAGAACAAAGAAAAGAAGTAACAGCAGAAATATAGAATAACTTTTATTAGAGTCTTTAAAGACCTCAAATTTGGAAAATGTGACTTGATACAAATATCTTTCTTTACTCTTTGGCATGCTGCGCGCATTTGCAATGAACTCGAGAGGTGGCACAACCTACCTGATATAATTTTCGTTCAGGTGGTAGCGTACGTGGACCAATCTAAAAAGCAGGATCAACGGCTGTTGAATTACTGGACACAGAAGCAGAAACATGAAGATTCTTGCAGAATGATGCAGTAGGACTAGAAAACAACAACAGAAAACACTGTTGAGTTTAAAGTTTCTTTCACATTTTCTTTATAAAGTTTCGTTCGTTTTGCGATTTGGGGCGAAGCGGAAGAAAATATTCAAAAATTATCGTGAACCTAAGCAGCTAAAAGCAGTGATATATTAAAGTTTTGTGTACTGTTCACTTGGAAGCAAACTGTGCAATATTAATGCTATTCGTATTTTTCAGTTTAGTGACTTCGGTATAATTTTAAGCGGAAATAAGTATTAAATTCATCACAGATATTATGGAGACTTTCTTTCTATCGGTTATACAAAATTTTTTAAAAATCATTGTGAGAGAGCACTTACCTATTTCGGAGATTAACTATGAAGAGCTATCTAACTGAATATACAAACATTTTAAATTTAACTGCTTTTTACATGAAAAATTGTTTACAACTTCGAATTCATTTATTATAGATTTAAGAGTGATTGGCAAATCTCAAATATTCGAAACAAACAATGCGAAATATAATAAATCTGAAGCATAGCAGTTAAAAATTATAACTAGATCTTTTAAATTGTGTTTCGATATCAAGAAGAATATGCCGATACTCTTATAAGTATAAAAGCAGCGTACAATGTAGCTGTTCTTTTTAGGATATACATTAATCTTGAAAAAAAAATGTCGAGTATTTGCAAATAATTTTGATAAATTAAAAATAAAACATTTTGATTTTCATTATGCGTTCAATGAACGTTAGATTTAATTTAGGATGCTGGCTGCCAATAAGCTAGGTTTTGGTAGGATCGAAAATATATTTCGATTCCTATATTTTAAAAAACAGACTTGCAGCGGATATAATGAAATTATATTTAATTTATTTTAAATTAAAATTGCCTATCCATAACAGTAATTTCAATAAAGAATACAACTTGATCCCAGAATGTCTTAAGAGAATCACCATTCGATGAATTCGAAGTCATCGAAATTCGGTCAGTGACACATAAGATTTTTGAACTTAATAGCATTTGCATTTACTACCATAAATGCTGCTTTACGCTTGCTTTCGATCAATTATGAAGCATAAAATATGTGGCGAACATCTTTATGAAATACATAAATTTTCATTTAATGAATTAAACACCTATAAGGAAATGTTATTATATTGTAAAACAATTTGATGACCAAAGTCTGACAAATTGCAAAAGAACAAAGTAAGATTAACATAAGTATCGAAAATTCAAAAAAATTTTCTTTTTATTGCAATTAAAATTCTGTACGATTTTTCAAAACTACAGACCTATCAAATTATGCATTCTTACAACGGTACAAGAAGCTGTGGCAGTTCTAGAAGGAAAACTTCTTTTTTTGTATAAATTTATAAAAATAGCATATAATTAATCTAAATATCACATGATGTGAGAAAGAATAAACAAAGGGTGGGGGGGATATTGACCTAGTCAAGGTCTTGGCCCCAACTTCATATATTCAATTGATTACATTTCGCTTAAGGAATGTGTAAGTAAAGAAAATTTTGGACTTGGAAGCATCGATTTAAGAAATCAAGTTTAATAATAATTTTAGAAAGGAATATAAAAAGAGATCGAACTTGAAAAATATTGTCCGACTTTCACTGGCATTCAGCAAAAAATAATTTCACTCATGCGGCAGGTAGAAAAGCACGCAGCTGCAAGTTTAAAAAAATACACTTTTATTATTTGATTTAGTGAGGTATGATATGATAATGCTTCTATATAATGACTTCTATATAATCTTCTATCTAATGTCTTCTATGTGATCTTAATCTTCTATGTGATCTTCTATATAATGACTGTCGAATAATTTTTGTGTTTGTAATTAAGATATAATGACTTAAGAAGGAAATAAACAAAAAACACCTCTGCTTCAGAGACCATCCCATTTATATTCTGGTAAATACAGAGGTTCAGATTGCGAATTATTTGCGTTCATGTTCGCGATTATCGTGGAAAACAAGTAATTAGTTAAAAAAGAAAAACAACGGCATAGTTTTTTCCTTACTCGCCTAATACTGCCCATTTGTTGCTAGGAATGTTAAGTGTGGTTATGATTAAAACTAAACGAAACCTTACAAACGAAGAAATGTTGCTTTTTTAATGTTTCTTCTTTGAAAAGTCTGTATTAATTAAAATTTCAGCCGTTAAGATAAACTGCTATGATGCTTAAAAGAGCTTTTTTTGGCAATGCAATTAAAAACTAGAAAGTACGTTATAATAAAAAATTCAAATATTCTAACAACTGTTCTTCTATTGTAGGGTATCTTTTAAGTTCAGCATCATATATATCTTGCTTGATCTCCAATTTCTAATACAATGAAGGATATGTTAGCTATATCAAGAAATCATGGGTTCATTTGACCTTTTTCTGTAAGGCCTTTTAAAATTTTGGCTTACGCTTACATACTACTGGCCTACAGCACCTGGAAGAAAGGCTCTGTCACACTTGCCTTCATATTGACGTATATCACTGGAATCGTGGCAACCATAGCATATATATTAGTAAATAAGAGTGCCATTTTCAATAGACTCAATAAAATTCTTTATGATGCTGAACTTAGGGCACAACTGCAAATCGACTGATATGTTATGATGATGAAAGAGGAGGTAAAGGGTTTTTCGCCTTGTGGTCGCAAAAAGAGCGAAACTTTTAACGGGCGGATTGTCTATGGAAATCACTGTCTCACGTGCCAGGTAAGGACAGGAATTTTGGATAACGAGCTCCTTCTTACATTTTTAGCAGAAGACTTAATGGGCGCTGAAAGGTCGTCGGCCAGCGACGAGTCGGGTGAGGCTTCGCGCGCCCTGTATTCATTAATTAGTTTTTCCATACGTTCAAGGATCTTCTCGTCAGAATCGAGGACTTCAGAGTCGTTCAAAATTTCCTCCAGCAAAGGTGGTACCGGCTTCACCGGAGAGGATTGTAGAGAAAGCGTCCTACGTTTAGGGTTCCACTCCGGTGTCCGGGCGGGAGAAGAAGTAGCAGTCCGTGTGGTAGACGAAGAACGTTGCCTGCTCCCTTGCATACCCCTTCTTGGTCCTTGTGATTGAGTCCTACTACCCCGGTTAATAGGCGATTGGAAGAGAGATGTCTCAGAGCGGCTGGCAGATAAGCGGCGACCCATTACCTCATCTCCACGATATCTATGGTGCGGGGATGGCGATTGGGAAGTTGGAATCCTGCTTCGGGGTGGCGATATTTTTCTTGTGACTGTCACAGCTGGTGGCTCGAGAGAAGAATCTTCGGCGTCTTCAGAGCAGGTGCCCTCGCCAAACTTCATAACTTTTCTGGGGGAGTATCGGCGCTGCCGTCGGAGAAAGTCTGCATTTCCCCTGCATGCCTCAGCCTCCGATATCTCGGAAGAACTATCTGCGGAGCTTGGTCGGCCAGTCTTTCCGCGGCTTCTTCGCATGGAAGGGGCCCAGTCATCGCTGCTGCTTCTAGAGGAAGTCCGGTCATCGGGGGAGCTTAATCTTGATAGGTCAAAGGAACGCCGTCGAGAAGGAGGGGACGTTGGAACGCTGGAGGAACGTGAAGAAGATGGCGTGCCAGACAGAGGCCTAGAAAAAGTAAGAAATACTTATTATATATAAGAACATATACTTCGAGAAGCAGTATCCTCTAAAAGTACCTGTTATGTACTTATACAAGTAATGCAGCAAAAAGTCAATAAACGTATGATTTTAGATCATTCAGATAAAGTCTTGAGAATGACAAACATATATCGATAGACTAATTACTGAAATTATGAAAATTTAATTATGATATGATATTGACAGATATTGCCATATACAATATGATACTGGCATACTCTTCAGAACATTTTCACATGCGATCGTTCTGATTTCCTCTTATCATCGTGGCTTGTATTAAACAATGTATTACAGATTGAATACATTATATATTTTTAACTATGTAGAGACATTAGATATTTTTGGAAGCAGGCAAGATGAAAAATGAGCAAACGCCTTCGCCGGGAATCGAACCGCGGATCTCTGGAATACCGGCTCAGCGTGCAGAACCACTACACCACGAAGACACGCTAGGAAGGCGGGAGAAATACCTTAGAACTACTTGAAGCATTTTTCAATCAGGTTCAACAAATCATTAATAGAAAATTATATTTTTTAGATGAATTTCTTCCGAACTTAATATAAAGCGATTGCGCTTTCTCGGGTTTAGCTGTTTGTCAGTAAAATTGCAAATTAATGAGAATCCTAACGCTTTGTTTTGATTAAATTTCAGACCTTTCATCAATATTTCATTAGCCTCGTAGTCAATCACGATTTCTTTTGCTTCAATTTTCGAACCTTATTCCTTATGTTCTTTAATCAACGCATAAATACAAGAAAAAGGGGTATAATTCCTCTTGTTGGAAACATAACGAACTTCCCTCTGAGTTGCAATTTCAGGAACTCAATTATATGATTCAGTTTTCGGTTATGAAGTCTGTAGCTATTTCATATTTTGATTTTCCTGAAAGGAAGGTAGGTATAAAAAGAAAAAATATCCCTCCCAAAAAAGTTTATATTTTAACGTAGCACCAAAGGGTTTGTTAAATTTTTTTATGTTCTCGGCTGAGCTCGCAGTTATTAATCTGCTTTTGGACTCACTTCTGCTATTACAATTTTTGTCTTTTTAACTTTATTATATAACACTGCTTTCTTCGTGCTTACGCCACATAAAATTCAAAGGTAAAATCACAAATTTTTTAAAAGCAGCGTTTTTAGAATTCCTAAGCAAAGTGCTAAGGGTTGCCTTACTTTTTTTAATATTCGATGTCTTATTAAAAATAATATATTTTGCGACAACATCCTTTATTTCCGGACACAGGACTGATATTAACACAAAAGCAATACGGAAAATGAAGTAAGGATCAAGATTAATAGAATCTCCGGTGTTAAAAAGAGGTATAATATAGGTGTATTTGTCTTTTGTTCAGTTCTCCTAAGTCTTTCTAATTCGGCAACATCACAGCGACCTCGCAATATTTCCTACAAACAGGATGACGTATAACAGATTTGAAGGATAGATTGAAATGTGCAATATTTATTCGGGTACCCAAAACGTTGTTTTTAACGTGATGTATCAGTTAGCTCAGACAGTCAGAAGGATGACTGAAGAGATAACCATTAAACACTTTCAAAAATGCGAGGGCTAATGAATTTCTACTCGGCATTGGATTAAAATTACCCACTTTTTTGACTCGGCAGAATTCCAGGAAATGCTCAGAGATGTAGCAACTTTTTTTCTGATACTCGCAGGTCTTTTGCAGTGAAGAAAAAACACGAAGAGCAAATTGGATTATGATTGACTGATGTCATTCTCAGTGTGACTAATATCTGGTTTCGATTCATGCCACATTTTAAGTTTATGAAGCCATCTAATTGAAAAGCGAGCTTCCTGCATATTCAGTCGATGTGGTATTTCTTTTGAATTCTCGATTAACAAGAGGCCGTTCAATGGAATATTGGATGCATGACACTGGCTGAAAAATTCTAGAAAAATGGCATCGAGCTCAAGAAACTTCCCATCTTGGACATGTATATACTTTTCTTGAAGCGGACTGCGCGCAAGTTTCTGCTCCATCGAAATACACCTATCCACACCTAAGTCATTCTTGAAAGGCCTACCTACACCTTGTTATCATAATTACACACTTTTTGAATAAGAGACACTTAGGAATTACTTCACGCGATAACAGCTGTAAGACATACTGAATTAGGCGCATATATGAAAGCTACTTAACATTTCCACGTTGTGTTAGTTATGTTAGAGTATATTAATTTTATTTCTGCTTTTACTATGCGAGATAACAGAAACATTTTAAATACATATGTTTAATTGCATGTTGCATTCTAATGCGTTAAAGAAAAGTATTAACTTGCATATGCAGCTTAAATCGCATAAGAAGAATTAAAATGTACTTTACAAAAGGAAATAATGAAACATTTATTGCAGAACTAAAACTAAATACTATCTGGACGATGGAATAAACTGATTTTCGGAATATTTTGCGTTTAAATGCTTAAACGTGAAATTAAACGTACGTGTTACTTATATTTAAAACACCGCTTTTTTTTTTCTTTTCGGGTTAAAAAAAAGAATTAATGTATACAAATAAATAAATTAAAAAAAAAGTTTTCAGCGAACATGATACTAATCTGAAATAAACTGAGGAAAAATTTTCGATACATAAATTCACAGTAACATAAACTCCTCATAGAAGGACAGCTTTACACATATCTAAACTGCTATAGTATATTAGCTGCATTAAAAGTGCATTTTTATTAGTTTATTAATACAATGAAGAAAAATGCAACAAGATTCGAAAAGTGCCTGTAAATGTATCTTAAAGTAGCATTTACTCAGAGATAAAATTTCATATCAGACACTTAGAAGCTGATAACTTTGCAAATTAAGCAACTCGTATATAAACTGGACAGAAGGTGTGATGGATGTTTCTTCCACAAACTTCAGGTAGTACAGAATAAGATTCTGCGAAAAACGGCAAATGCTCATTACTTGATTTAGAAACAAATTGATGTCTTGAAAATCTAACCCCTACTGGACCACATTACTAAACTTAAACATTTCTTCAAAACTGGACATAGTTACCATGCTGAAAAATTTTCAGAAGTTCTTAGTTACCAAGTCCTTCCAGATGATAATTTGTCGTGGCAAACCGTATACCAGAGACTGGCGGCGATGGCTCGTTTGCAAACAGGCTAGTAATTTGCATAATTCACCTTTTTCTCACCGAAACGCACATGTAGAACTTTTTCAGACTGAGTCATTCATGAAGTCGAGATAACAAAGCGCGTATTCTTTTGACATACGAATGAAGATTTAATTGTTTTGTGACACTCACTGGAAGGATATTATCCGGAAAAAACAAAGTATGTAATATCATGCATTAAAAACTGGAGGATCCATCTGGAGGAAACAAGGTATGTAATATCATCCATTAAAAATGACCATTATGATAAAATGTGACCTCTGGAATCTGATTTACTAGTATCGGATGGTGCAGAAGCATATGACAAAAATTTAAAGACAAATAATGTGAATATTGCATGCTGTACGGATAAAAACCTGAATCCCTGTATCATGCTTTCTAGGGAACTGTTGCTTTAACTTTCTTGCAAGGCCTGCACTAGGCATTTTGCCTTCCGATGCGCTTTCTGTGACTATTAAATTCTTTTTCCTGGCGCTTCCATAAATTCTAAAAATTTAGCCTTTCCTAAATTTTGCTGTTTGGTGTTTTTATATCTTCTAAAAATTTTGCCGCCAGGTGCGGTCGCACCGTCTCTGGCAATGGTCATGCTTTCTTGGAGAATAAAGTTGGTTTTCATGGGGTTGCACTTGTCGAAGACTTTCGAAACAGAGAACAAATTTATCGGATATTTAAATGTCTCGTCTACAATCGAAAGCACCATGTTTGAGCTATTTAAGCAGATAAGTTGCTATTCACTAACTACAGCCTACCATCCTACCATCCATCATTCTTACCTACTTAAGAATTTCATTGATTTTGGAATGGGATTCCTTTGACCAAGATGGCTACAAATGGCAAAATACGGAAGCCTGTCTCTAAATTATTTACTCTTGTTGTATTCCTAAACGCTAAACAATTTTACGAATTTTTTAAATATGTAAATAATTTTAGTGAAATTATAATATCTTTTATATAATGTAACATAAAATGCTTGAAAGAGTAAAGCTTTGTCGGAAAAAATAAGTTTACAGGGGCAAGCGTGTTTAACATTGAGGTATCTAACAAATAGCTATCTCGTTAAACTTGTGAAATATCGCCAAGCTGGAGATAGTTTTAGCGACTACTTTTTATCGCCAAATAGCTCTATTTAACTGGTACTGTCATTTCATAACTATTATTGATCCCTACACGTAAGTGTAACCGTATCCGGCCCTTACATGTAACTTTAACCGTATATGCCTTCTAGTAATTTCGAGAAATGAAAGGTACTAGAGATTTCTCGGCGGCCGGAGGAAAACTATATGAGATCGGAAACAGCATCAGCTCTTAGCTTTTTTCAGTTTAGAGTTGACTACTAAACTGAAAAAACTTTAATACTGAGATCTCCGTGAGAGCTATGCCTTTTATATACGCTTTGCATTGCATTGCGGTTAACGTTCTTATTAGTTTGAAGTGTAACTACTGATTGTGCTCTGTGATACTGAGAAGAGCTGCACGAGCGTCCTTGGGAAAAGTTCCAGAATTGTAAAAATGTTTCTTTTGGGAAAATAAATTTTATCAAGCGACCACCTTTCTTTCTTTCTTTTTTTTTTTTTTTTTTTTTTTTTTTTTTGTGCATTCAATCCATTACGAAACCGTATGCGCGCGATAATATATTTCTTATCAAAGCGACGTTTAAAAATTCAGTTTCTGCATTTTTCATAATATATTTTTAGCAGCAAACATTTAAACACATTTTACATGCTGCATGAGATTCAGGCCCAATGATCTAGCAGGCCGCGACAAATATGGAATAGTTTAACTCTTCAGATAACTCCACACCACTTGAGCTATATGTGGGTGGGCGTTACTGCCCAAACAAATCACGTCGGTACCCATTGCAGCGATAATAGGACGCATAAGAGGGTACAGAATTATTTTGTCGCAATATCGGACGGCTGCGATGGAACCACCAGGAATCATGTAGAGGTCAGTGCGGCCGTTCATTGCTATTTCAGTCCATACAAGGAAGCCTTCTCCTCTGTAATGGTCTCTTTCGATGATATATGGCACACGATAGCGTGTCTATGGCTTTCGCCCTATCATTGAACTTTGGGAATCATTCTAGATGTTAAATCGAGACTCATCCGCAGACAGTAAGTGGAACCACTGTTTTGGTTTCCAACTGCGATGTTCACAGGCCCGATTCAATCACGGTCTGACATATGATGAGGACAAAGGAACACAAATCGCAGGTTGTTGGGCGTACAGTCCACCTTTATGCAGTATAGGCGATACAGTTTGGTGGCATATGGGCCATCCTGTAGCAGCAAAGAGATGCGGCACCAACTGTCGTGCTGTTAGTGCTCTACGGCGTCTTCCACATAACTGCAGGAAGCGATCGTCTGCCCTTGTGTTAAACCTGCAGCGTCCAGACAAACGTCTTCTACAGGAGTTTTGATCCCTTTGGTCATGATTCCACAGCTCATTGATGGCACGACGATGCACATTCAGCTCTCCAGCAACAGCGGACTTTCTCGCACCAGCCTGCAACATCCCGAAAGTCCTCCAACGGATTTCGTCATGCAAATAGTGTCTTCGGCTCATGGTTTCCGGTTTGGTTATCTCGGATTACATGGAACTACCGCTGCTTGCGAACTGACGCACGCATATGCCGGTATGCCTCTTTTTTAAGGCGTTGCGGTATGATTGCGGGATTGCGTCCAATGTTAATTTTGGTTGCCCGTTTGCATTCGGCGATGCAACCTGTATTTTATATGAAAACTGTGTGTTTTAATTCCCGTTTTTATATTTGTACCTTTCCTTTTAGCATTTGTTGCTTGTTTTCCGAGTACGAGTGGATATATATATAATCATTGTCTCCATAATTTTGCCCTTTTTCATAGCTAACATTTGCACTTTCAGTTCGATATTGTGTATCCAAAAAGCCCTTTTCAAGGACCTTAGCAATTAATCTTTTACTTTGTTACTTAGAGATTTTCGCTCCGAAATAATTCAGAGACGATTAGAAATATTTCAAAACTAATATAATATTTACCCCAGTTAACGTATTGAGATGAGAATGCATTCATTCATCCCTGCCCCTAAAGGATCACTTCACTTTCTCTTTAATTACTGTCTCCTTTCTCCCACAGCTTAAAAATTCCAACCCTCTATGAAATGACCCTCATTTATGTTACAATTGTCGTGATATTACTCAGTCCAGAATATGAAGATACTTTTTGAGAAGTCTAATCAACAACACTCAAGCGGTTTTAAAAAACTGTATAAATTTCACTAATATTTTTGCATCACAATTTTGGACAGTAGCTGTTTTGAAAGTTTAATAATTCTGCAAGCAGGCGAGATAGAATGAGCAATAGCAACATTTATAAGGTGGCGTGGATGGCAAGCAGCAAGATACCGAAACGTAACTGAGAGGATCAGGAAAATTTAATTAGCATTGCGCTAAAGATATTTCTAATGACGGTAACAAAATAATAACAAATTTAGAACCCTTAACGAAATTAAATCATTAAAGTAGCAAAAAATTAGAAATACTCTTTATAGCTTTATTTTTTGTTGCAATTTTTCAGTCAGAGGATTAAAAGTTTTTAAGAATCGGGGCCTGAAATGAAGATTTACGTCATCATATAAATATCTTCTTCAGATATAAACTCAAAAAATTACCTGTGACTGTTGAGGTGCACCTGTATAGATCCCGAACTGGACGGAGACACTCGGCTCACGGAGATGCGACGACCTGAAAGAAATTTTATCATTATGCAGTGGTAACAACGTGATGAAAACATAAAAAAATAACCTTTTTAATAACGTTCGTCCACCGAATGTAATGGACGACCGCCTGCGGAAACATTCTTAATTGTTAGATGTTGCAGACAATGCAGTATTTTCTGCAGGCGAACGGTTTAATTAAGTCTTCCTGTCTCTCCCATCCACACACGCCTACAAACGTTTTCAACTTTAGCTCGTTATCTCCCAGGGTATGTCTATTTCAGATCATGTAAAGTGAAAATAACATTAGATAATTCTCTTTTTGCTTCTATCTCAAGATGAAAGAAATGAACAAAGTCATTTTGTTAGAAGCGGATGCCAACGAAAGTAAGAATAAAATCACGGAAAAGAAAATTAATTCTTCCGCCAACAAATTATTCAGTCCATTCTAATGAAGTAGCGTAGATTGAGAATAATGTTTTTGCAACACTATCTGTGCCCAAAGAGGTCGCCAAATTAAAAAGAATTAAGTAAAAAGAGTTATGAGAAGTGGCTAACATAAAATGTAAACAAAAGACTGTCGCAAAATTTTTTTAACAGTTTACACAACACTCAGAATTTTACGTTATTAACAAAATTTATTGCTAAGTTTTCAGTGAAATTTAATGGCATCAGGAATTTAATTCTTCTTTAGCAAATTATTTTTTAGAGTCGTGTATGTACCCTAAATATTAGTATCCATACAACCGTATTGTCTTTCATTTCCTGTATAATGTTTCGTATGCTATATGTGCAATTAAAATTTAATTTTAATGTTGCTCTTTTACTTTAAATTTCAGTTGCAAAATTCTAAGTTTTATTCAGATTTATCATATGCCCTGCTTTATTTCAGAGAAAATTTAAGAAGGAATCGTTTATTAACGGTCTCTTTGAAAAAATTTAGATTAATTAAAACATTTTAAGAATACAAAATGCCTTTCTCGATTTTTTTTTTCATCCGATGCATATGAAGTCGTTTAAGAGGTGGCAAACTTTCATCTATTCCTGTATAAGTTAATATCATTAATAAACATTCATATAATTCAAGAATAATGTCCTAATGAGAAAATTAAAGAGCTCTGTAGTCACTAACTAACTTTTAATCAACAATATTCCTTCTTCTAAGGCTAACTTTCGTCTTTGAATATGTAGCACGAAAGCACCCAGCATCATCTTCATAATACTGAAAATTATATTAAGCATACATAAGAAGAAAAGAAAACTAATTCGTAAACTGAAAGCTTCAGATCACAGTCTAACGTTTCAAAGTGAATTTTACCATCAAAAATAAAAACAGTAAAATAGATGTATACATATATACACACACATAATATATATATATATATATGTAGTATCCGTAAGTGCGACACAACCACCAGAGGGCCTCACCGATGCGCCAGCAGCGAGGTGAAAGATGAGTATGACATAGACAGAGAGACTCTTGTGCTATCCCACGCGAAGGTGGTGAGCTGCACGCGAAGGTGTAGAATAAGGAACTGTAGTTTTCCACGCGAAGGTGGTAAAATTGGACTGTACTGTTTAATACATCAGCAAATGCGAGTAGGCACTAATCGGTTATGTGATAAGACTGGTAAAAGCTATCATAATCCTCTTTGTATCAAACGGCACTTGTATTTAATCTAATTTGTACCTTTTCTGATTATCTTTATTAAATGTTCTGTGGTGTGGAAAACAAAGTTGGAACTGTTATTTAGCATCTTCAACTCCCTTACTACAGAAAATCTGGGGGCCCTGTCCGGGATATTTGGATATTTGGATACTTCAGAGAAGGTACTGTGAAAACTTTGCTTTATTTCTTTCTTGAAGATAGTGATACTTTTGTTTCGTTTTTAAAATGAGTTTCCTAAATAATTTAAAGAAAAGTGATTTAATAGTAATTGCGGAACAAATTGGACAGACTGTTCCAGAAAATGCTAAAAAAGCTGAAATTAGAAGAATTATCGAAAATTCTGATGTTTTCAAAAACGAACGTTGAATTTGTTCGTGCGTCGTCAAGTCGATCGCAGAGGATCGGACGCCTAAAACAAGTAATGAACACTATTTGTTAGAGATCGAACGTCTTAAATTAGCTCAAATTGAGAAGCAGATTGAATTAGAAAGTTTAAAATCACAATCATTATCGAGTGATAGAAGAAACGCGGAGACTAGTGTTGAAGATATTATTAAAAGCGTCAAAACACTAACTATAGCTGTACCTCAGAAACCGGAAGCTATGCATTTGTTTTTTCAGTCACTTGAGAAAGCTTTTACTACTAAAAGTGTACCAGTGGAGTTAAAATCAGAAGTGTTGATTAATATATTAGGTGATAAATGTAATAATGTTCTAACGTATGTTTCTGAACAAGAAATCGGCGGATTATGATAAATTAAAAACTCTAATCTTGAAAGAATTTCAGCCAACACCGCGTGAGTGTGTTTGAACAATTTAAAATGCGCAGAGACATTCATCTGAATCACATGTTCAGTTCGCGTCTCGACTCAGTGCAACTTTCAATTATTATTGCAAGTTAAGAGAGGTAGATGACTTTAAGAAATTGTGTGATCTTATTGTATCTGATAAGTTTGTATGAAACTCTTGATTCTAAAACAAAGGAACATATTAGTGTTCGGGAGGGTCAAAGTTGGTTCCCACCTAATCAATTGGGAAGAGAATGTGATTATTTTATTCATCCAGGGGTAAATCTTTAGTGAGTTGATACCAAAACACACGAATCGAAACTCCAGAAAATAAAAAGCTTAATTTTTCCAAAAACAATCTTAGAAAAGCTCAGAGCAATTTCAGGATTCAGGGAAGTTTGTAAATCAGGGCAGTAGTAAACCAGAACGTATTTGCTATGTTTGTGGGAGTAAAGGGGAATTATTTTCATTTTGCTAGAAATTGTCCCAAAACGGTTAGGAAAGGAGGAAAGTTTGTTCTCCAAAAAAGGTATCTGGGTTAGAGATTGACTCGGATAATGCAGCTAGAAATAAGTTAGAATTTATTGAACTGTTGATTGATGGTAAAAAAGTAAAATGTTTAATAGATTCTGGAAGTGAATTGGATAGTTGTAAAGAAATTCCCTTTTTCCGAATAAATTATCAACTGGATGTATAGAACTCAAAAGTTCGTTTGGTCACGTGGGTTAAAGCGGAAACGGCTAAGTTATTTTTCTTTATGCGAAAGCAAAAAACAAAAAGAGATTGAAGCCGCGATAGTTGATGAATTGATAACAGACTGTATTTTTCCCCTTCCTGTCTAAAAATGATCTGTTGTGACCAGGTGATGATTACGCAATATGAAAATGATTCCGTCTCTTCGGAAAGGAAATTTTTGTCTTTTATTTCTGCAGCCATTGAGGGAGACAGCGAAACAGATTTATGGCATATTAAAGATGAAGGATTACGCAATACTGTTTCCACTCTTATTAATGATTATAAACCGTTAGAAAAGCCGCGCAGTACGAGTACAGACTTAAAAATGAAAGTAATATTAAAAGATGATATTCCAGTTTCTCAGCGTTCGAGGAGAATTCCTTTTGCTGATCAAAAAATTGTTGATAATCAAATAGATGAATGGTTAAAGGATGGGATTATAAAGCCGGTCGTGTTCAGAATATGCTTCGCCAATTGTTTTGTGTAGGAAAAAATCGGGCAAGACACGGATTTGTGTTGACTTTAGGCAGTTAAATAAAAAAATAGTTAAGGATTCTTTTCCTATGGCACAAGTAGAAGAGAAGTTTTAGATCGTTTAGGTGAAGCAAAGGTTTTTTCGACATTAGACTTAAAGAATGGTTTTTTTCATGTTCCAGTTGAGGGAAAACTGCACTAAATATTTGGCATTATTACTCATTCAGGCTTGTACGAATTTCTAAAAGCACCTTTTGGTTTGTGCACGTTCCCTAGTGTGTTTCAAAGATTTATTTATAATGTGTTTAGAGATTTAATTCGGGATGACACTGTTGTTACTTACATGGACGATTTTATTATTCCAGCACGAAATGAGAAAGAAGGCTTAGAAAAGTTGAAACACGTTTTAGAAGTAGCCAAAGAATATGGTTTGGAGATTAATTTTAAGAAATGCCAATTTTTGAAAAGAAAAATAGAATTTCTCGGGTATGTTATTGAGGATGGTACAATTCGCCCCTCTACTGAAAAAAACCAGGGCTGTTCAAAATTTCCCGGAACCCAAAAACCTTAAGCAGATTCAAAGTTTCTTGGGCCTTACTGGGTATTTTAGGAAATTTATTGCCAATTATTCAAAAATAGCGAAACCATTAAGTGATCTTCTTCGTAACGGAGCAGAATTCAAATTTGGGCCTGAACAAAAAGATGCATTTAATAAATTGAAAGAACTTTTATCCACAAGTCCGGTTCTTCATATTTTTAAACAAGGAGCACCATTAGAATTGCATACAGACGCAAGCAGTCATGGTTTCGGCGCTGTATTGCTACAAAAGTCAGATGATGGACAGTTACACCCCATTTACTTCATGAGTAAAAAAACGAGTCTCCAACAAGAGAAGCTATCTAGTTATGAGCTTGAAGTTTTAGCTATAGTAGAAGCTCTAAAGAAATTCAGGAATTACCTTTTAGGGATCTAAGGTCAGGACAAGTTACGGATTGCGATGCTTTTCCAGAAGACTATGTTAAAAAGAAGGATCTAACCTCCTAAAGTGGCGAGATGGGCGTTACTTCTAGAAGAATTTGACTATGAAATTGTTCACAGATCTGGGCAACAAATGAAGCATGTGGATTCGTTAAGTAGTAGAAACGTTGTCATGATGGTTACTTGTTCTCAGGGAGAAGTTACAGCCAAAATTGCAGCTGCGCAAAGAAGTGATGAGCGTCTCCAGTTGCTAAAATCCTTAGTCGAGCAAGGACTAAAGAAAGATTTTCTAGTGAAAAATGGAATATTATACAAGTTTGACAGTAGGTCATGAGTTACTTGTGGTACCCGATGCATTAGAGCTAGAAATCATACGTAGTATC